GGAGGCTAGCAAATTGGAAGAGTTTCAAGTTGTTAAGTACATCAGATGGTTGGGTTTTCAGAAAAAAAAAAACTTTGAGATGTGTTATCATGATTATCTGATTGTTCATTTTTGGCTTTGTCCCCATACTTATCCTTGTAATTATTTCTTGGCCTGAAATTAGCCAACATTTTGCTAATAAAAGACATTCTATTTTCGTTCTTTGTGTCTTTTTCTGGTGACTGTTTCTCAACCATTCATATTCATTTCTTCCTAATACCCCACCATGGAAGAAATGTGCAAATGCACTCTTACTTTTTGAGTTTGAGATAATGATTGATGAATGAATAACAACATGAAAGATTTTTACATTACATTGAATAAATCAAGAGTGATAAACGCAAAATCGAGATGTTCAGTTCCTGATTAGGATATTGAATCTGGGAAGAGATTTTGTACAGAAAGAATGTGAGTGGAAGAGACAATTAAGAGCTATACTGGCTCAATATTAGAAGAGCAGTGTAATTGGATCTTTGAAGAATCAAAAGGCTTGATGCCCAAGAAAAGAGCTTGAGAAACTTGAGTACCATATATTGAATAGGAATTAATTGGCCAACATTTGCATAGCATGCATTGAAATTCATATGCATTGCATAGCATATACTACTTTCAGGAAAGTATAGTGTATAAATTCAAGAAGCAGGGGTGTTCCAAGATCCCACATAAAGAAGACAGATATGAAGATATTTTCAAATTTGAGAAGAAACTTGTCAGGTAAATTCCTAATCCTTGAAATAGGATGTCTTTTGGTTTCATGATTGATTTATAAGACCTTTGGGCATAATCTCCTGAAATTCCTTCAAACACAATTTTCAACTCCTTTGGACATGATTGTTAATGAGCAATTTACTTTTCAAAGTCGTGGTGCCTCTGTTTAGAGGAGCAATTTACTTTTCAAAGTCGTTGAGCCTCTGATTAGAGGAGCCATTTATTTTTCTAAAGTCATTGAGCCTCTGATTAGAGGAGCCATTTATTTTTTCAAAGTCGTTGAGCCTCTATTTAGAGGAGTTTTGATCAAATCTTTAAAAAAAAAATGTCAAGTTGAGTCTTGATTGGGTGTCTACGTCTTTGCGCAATTTCTGTTTCACAGAAAATGTGCGAAGAGGGGTAGCTATAGACACCCAATTTGGTCCAGGCCCAGATCAATTGGGCCTAGTCCAAATAGGTAAGTCTATTTTTTTTTATTTTTGTATTTTACATTTTTATTTTATTTTTATTTTTATTATTATTATTGTTTTTATATTTTTCTTTTATTTTTATCTTATGTATTTATTATTTATTTATTTATTACTACTATTTATTAATATATATATCCTTATTATTATTATTATTATTTGTTAATATTTATATGTATATTTATCAAATTATATGTTATAATTTATCTGTTAATTTTTTTATTTATCTTATTTATTTTCATTAATATTTTTATTTGATTTTTTTTATTTTTTTTATTTATTCGACTGAAAATTGGATTAGGATTCAATCAGAAGAGTCCATGTTGGATTCAATGATTGAATCCCGATCCAAAGAGGAGTTGGGATTGATCAGAAACTCTTCTGATCAATCCTTATAAAAAAACCCTCAAAATTAAAGGAAACACATAGAAAAACAAAAGGAAAAGAGTACTGGTTGAGAGAAAAAGGCAGACAAAAGAGATTCGAAAGCTGGAAAAGGGTTTAGAGGCATTAGAATAGCTTTAGGAATTGTTGGAAAATTTTTTAAGATTTTTCTGTGAATTTTTTCTGGAAATTTTTAGAAAATTTCTAGATTTCTGTTAAATTTTTTAGTGAAAGTTAAATTTTTCGACTACGATTCCGGTCAAGATTGAAGTTTTCGGTCAACTGTCCAATTTTCAGTGAAGATTCCCAAAAATCGACCAACTTTTTGTTGAACTTTCAGAGAAAAACTCAGATTTCGATGAATTTTTCAGAATCCGATGAATATTCAACCGGAGTTCTTCAGAAAGTTTAGAGAGAAGGAAAGAAGAGGAAGGAAGAGAGAGAGGGAGGAGGCTCGGTCTGCTGAAAAATGAAGGAATCAGCCTTATATACCCTCCCAAAACGACGTCGTCTTTGCGTTAAGTAACCCAGAGGATCCGCGCATTTTGTCGAGATCCGACCCGAGCTGAACGTCGACCCGCTTTCGACCCGCGCGTGTCTCGCTTCTCCGAGCCATTAGTCGAGCCGAGCTGACACGCTTGAGCAGCTTCTCCAAGCCATTTTTCTTCCTTAAGCTGAGCCAAGCCGTTAGCCGAGCCGTTCCAGGTTTTTTTTTTTTTTTTTTTTATTATTTATTTATTTATTTTATTAGATTAAGTTTATTTAATATTCTTTTATTTTTATCTTTATTTTATTTTTATTTTTGTTTTACTTTTCTTTATTTTTTATTTTTTTATTTTCACTTTTATTTTGTTTTATTATTTTATTTTCTTTAAATAAAATCCAAAAAAAATATTTTTGGAGAAAAGTTGAAAGTATCAATTTTCTTTAAAAATAAATTTTCAAAAAAAAGTTTTTGAGAAAAAGTTGAAAGTATCAATTTTTCTTAAAAATAAACTTTCTAAAAATATTTTTGAGGAAAAGTTGAAAGTATCAATTTTTCTTAAAAATAAATTTTTAAAACGATTTTTGAGGAAAATTTGAAAGTATCAATTTTTCTTAAAAATAAATTTTCAAAAAAGGTTTTTGAGGAAAAGTTGAAAGTATCAATTTTTCCTGCACAAAAATAATCATTCTTTTCTTCCTTTTTATTTTTTAATGTTAAATAATCCAACAATGGAGCCTCTGCAAGTGAAACAGTAGTTTTTTTGCATACTCCTGAGGTGAGAGAATTTTTTCAATTTTCTGCTAAAAGTATTAGAGTCAATTGAGAATAATTTTCAATAATTAATCACTTGGTAAATTTTTAAGGCTCATTGGATAATACAAATTTAAGTTGATACCATCTTTTGATGGGCGTTGTAAGGGTGCTATAACCTTCCTCACACGTAACCGAACTCCCGAACCCTGTTCTGGTTAGTAGACCTGAACCTATTCTTTTAGGGACCTTTAAACTTAAGTGTTCCCTGAAAGGACAGATTCCTTAGGTGGCCAATCGCACCTAGATAAAAAAGATTGGTGGCGACTCCTTCAAGTCAATGTCTAGCGATGAATCCCCGAATCTAGACGTTATGATACTCCCACTAACTTCTCCATACTGCAAGTGGCCTGAGAAAAAGGCCTCATTTAATTTCATTTTCTCTTTGGAAAATAAGGTCTTCTGCTTGGTTTTACACGTTCAGGCAAATACTTGTCTCTTATCACATTAAATAAAGTCTTCTGCTTGATTTTACACGTTAAGACAAATACTTGTCTCGTTGCAATTTTTTTCTTTTATACTGTTTTGTTCACTTTTGGGAGAGTTTGAAATTTATTACGGACAAGAGAAGACGACCTTGACTGTAATTGCCAAAGTTTCCTGCAATTTACAATTTAATTAATTATTTTTTTAATTATGTTGGCCTCTTTAGAGACAGTGTGGACGAATTCAATTTCCCAAATCTCAATTCTAATACTATCAATCTATACTATAAATTTTATTTTTGCACAGAACACAAGAGTTAATTATTAAATATTACGTCACAGTAGCGTTTCTGCAACCATCTCTTTTTTATTTTTATTTATTTTTTTACATTTTTCTCAAAAATTTTAAAATATTTCATAAAATTCTCCACAGTTACTAATCCTTAGCAAATAACATGATTAGGATGTTTATTTTCGATCATTTATTTTCCCTATTAACAAATTATTACGCTGCTACATATGAAAGACATTGAATTAATCAATTGCATTGTTCCTTTGGATCTTATTTTTGTTGGCACTCCCACTAATTTCTTCATACTGCAAGTGGCCTGAGAAAAAGACCTCATTTATTTCATTTTCTTTTTGGAAAATAAGGTCTTCTACTTGGTTTTACACATTAAGACAAACACTTGTCTCTTGTCACATTAAATAAGGTCTTCTGCTTGGTTTTACACGTTAAGACATACTTGTCTCGTTGCAAATTTTTTCTTATACTGTTTTGTTCACTTTCGGGAGAGTTTGAAATTTGCAATTTAATTAATTACAACCGATGCTGATGCATTTGCTTTCATCATATCCAGCTAAGCTTTCCTTTTCAGCCATTTATTTGAATGGAATTAAACAAATTATTATTATAATTTTTCACCGTAAATTAGATGTTGTTTTTATAAAATAGTGTAAATGCTTCTATGACATCTTGTTATATGATATTTTATTATTGGACTTATCTAAGGATCAAACTATTTGTTAGGACCAATTCAATCGAATTCTTAATAAGATTTTTGTTGAGAATTTGTCTTGAATATTTTATTCTCATATCAAAAATTGAGTAGAATTATAAAAGTTGATGGTTTATTTTGAATTCGCATATTATTAAAATAATAATGAAAATAATAAAACAAAAATAGTATTTTGAAAATATTTATTTTTAAAAGAATAAGAATAATAATAAAACCAAAACGATAAATTTAATATATTGAATTTTTCAAAAATTACAATAATAAAATTTAACCTATTCAGTTAATTATTTTCTTTATTTTTATTTTTATTCAATTTATTGTTATATTTATAAAAAATTAAATTAAATTTATGCTTATAATTAGAATTAAATAAACAGAGAAAAAAGTTAAAAAAATAAACCTTAATATAATTAAATAAGGAAAAAAGTTAAAAAAATAAAATAGTAAAACAGCTTTTGATGATTTTTTTTAACATGGTAGAAAATGATAAATAATATGGTTGCAAATATTTATAATATAATAATAAATGATTGATAATATAGTAGCAAATTCCATAATTAATATTAATAAAAGTGTCAAATGGTTAGTAATTGGTGAATAAGATTGTAGTTAAATTCCATAATTATAATATTATAATTTATTGGTATAAGTAAAATATAATATGATATCCCTCGTGGTGGAACAGCCTATGGAATTTATAATGATGCAGCTGAATCCCTCAGTTAGCTCATCCATTCCCTCTGAACAGCCTATGGAAGAAAAGGCTATCACCTACATGGACCTTGTTTTGTTCAAAGCTGCGGCGGATGGTGACGTGGAAGCATTTAGTGACTACCAAGGTGCTCTTGATTGCCTGGTTGACGGAAGCCAAAACACGGTGCTTCATATTTACTCCAGAACCGGAGGACGCCTGGTAGTCAAAAATGTTAGAGCGTTTCCGTGTTTTCAGAAAAGGGTATTCGAAGGAGAGTTCTCCATTAACTTTGTGGAGCAACTTGTCGACAAGTGCCCATCACTGTTACTGCAACGCAATGCCAACTGGGAAATCCCATTGCACATTGCAGCAAGACATGGGCATTCTGGCATAGTCAAAGTCCTTATTGAACGCGCCAATGTAGTGCTACATGAAGACCCCGAGAGAGGTTTGGATGCAACCGGGGCGAGGCAGATGCTGAGAATGAGGGATGAGGAAGAAAATACTGCTTTCCATTTGGCCGCTCGATATGGTCATCTTGATGTGTTGCGACTATTGGTCAAAGAAGATCCTGATTTTGCTTTCTTCGCTAATACAAGCGGTGAGACTCCACTCTACTTAGCTGCCGAGGGAGGATATCACGGTATGGTTACTGAGATGTTAGATAATTGCAAATCAACGGTTTATGGCGGCCCCCATGGTAGAACAGCTTTGCATGCAGCAGTCCTGGCCGGAGATGAAAGTAAGTGATCAGTTCATTATTTTGTGTTATTGTTGTTGTTTTGGGATAATTAACTCAATGGCTATTCTCGTTGCTTTTTCTGCCAATGGGATAATCTTCCTCATCATTCTAAATAACGCATGTTCTGTTTCTTCCCTGGCCAAACGAGGAAAATAAAACAAAACAAATGCATAGTCTTGGTCATTCATTTTTCAAAATTAAATAAATTCGCATGTACTGCCGTTGTTGAACTTTTTTATCTTTTTGTTGTGTTTTGGTAATGACAGAGACAGTAAGGAAACTAATAGAGGCAAAAATGCAACTAACCAAACAAACTGATGACAATGGGCGGACTCCACTCCACTATGCTGCGCATTTCAGTAAACGTTCAATTGCCAAAGTTTTGTTGGAAAAAGATGCGTCTGCTGCTTATATAAGTGATAAAGAGAGAGGGATGTCGGCTCTTCATATGGCAGCTTGGCAAGGCGAGCAAGGGATAATGGAAGAAATTATCTCCAATTGTCCAGGTTGCTG